TGGTAAAGGAGACTCCAAGCACAGGGCTCAGAATATGCAAAGTCCAAGAAGACACGTATGAGCATGAGTGTGGGTCTTAGTGAGTAGTTCATGGTGTCTGCAGAGCAAGTTCCTCTGGGTGACTGACTGTGTGTGTGAGAGGGGTACTAGTGATAGGAGACATGACTCAAGAGTTAGATCCAGTGTCACCAAGGAATATATATGCTGGTACAGATTGAATCATTTCTCTCAAAAATGTTCTAGTATCCAAGACTGTGAGCTTACTTGGAAGCAGAGTCTTTGCAGATGATCAGATTGAAAGAAGGTCACTATCCCAATATGAGTGACGTCCTTGGGAAAAGGGGAAATCTGGACACAGACATATGAAGGAAAATGATAAGGACCAAAGGGAGAATGCCATTCAAAAGTCAAGGGATGCAGAGGCTGCAAGCAAGGAGAGAGGCAGAGAGAAGATTCTCCCTCAGCTTGAGGAACCAACACTGAAATAGGACTTAGGATTTGTAGTCTCCAGGTTTCTAAGACAATACATTTTTGTCCTTCACACCACTCAATCTGGAGTACTTTGTTAGAGCAGCTCCTGAAAACTAATCCACAGACCAAAGTTAACAATGTAGATTTTAGTACACAGATAAAGGAAAGTCACTGAAGGATTTTATGTGGGAGATTCACATGATCACACTGTAAGTTAGAAAGATCATGCTTCTTCACAGTCATGTGTGCATTTGGATCAGAGCAGGAAAGATGAGAGGCAAGAGTTCATTTAAACTCCAGAAACAGTTCAGGCAAAACATAATGTGAATTAAGACAGTGGCATTAGAAATGAACAGGGCAGATTTATAAAGTACTGAGGAGTAAATGGTCAAGGAAGCCAGGTTCATGTTATTAGAGAAATGAAAGGACACTTACCATGAGTCCACTTTAAAAGGGAGAAAATGCTTGATTTGGATTTGGACTTGAAAAAATAAATAAAAATTGTGAGATAAAATTATCTTATGTTGAAAATTATTTTGGTTATAAAGGCAACCGTGTGCATTAATTTTAAGTGAACAGAGAACAAACTGAATTGTTTTGTATTTTGACTTTTCTTTTCTGGAAGATTATGTGACACATTACGGCTGTCTTCACTTTCAGAGCCAGAGCATAACAGAGCTACTTGTACAAAAAGAAAATGGAGAGTTTCATCAGGGCTCTCATGTCCTCCTTTAATCCTGTGACACGCTAACCATTCTCACTTGAAGTGCCTTTCACATTGTCATTATTTTCATTCTCTGTTTTAGTTGCCAATTGGTCTATGTCTGCCTATGTCCTCACTTGTCAATGGTTTGGACTAGAAACAGGGCACAACACTGGTGTCAATCTGGAATAATACACCTCATCATCTAGGGTTGTATGTTCTTTTCCCTCTTCTTTGTTATGGCAATGAGAGTTCCATGCTTAAAAAAAAAAAAAAAAAACTGTAGTAACCATTTAAAGTCTGTGCAAATTTCAAACCATTTCTTTGACAGTCATCTTTCCAGAAAAAGAGTACAGGATAGTGTACAGAAAAGGGATGGCAGCAAAGGGCTACAAACCAGGAGACTGGCTCTGCCAGCAGCTCCCTGGGTAGGCTCTTCCTCTTTGCCATCCAGAAGAGACAGAGTTTGGACTAGATGTCATCTAATGAGAAATGTTTCATGTTTGGGTTTGACATTGTAGCATACAATTTATTTACTATGTGTTCATGGACAAGTCACAAACTATCTAAAATCCTAAAATTCAGTTCTCATAAGCAGAAAGCAAAAGCATTTTGCTCATTATTAATTCATTACCATATTTCTGAAAGAAGGTAAGGTATGAAGAACAGGAGCTACTTTTCACCAAGCAGAGACTACTTAGGGTGGTGATGTTCACATTTTTTGCAAGAGAAAAACACCTTATATAGCATAGATATCAGTAATGAGCAAGTTCATTTTTACCATTTTAAGGTTTTATTGTACTTAGAAAAGGATTTATGTATTGTAGAATCCTTAAAACCCCCTCAGCAGAGGCTGGTACACAGGGGGCACAATGTGAAAAGCAATGTTATCCTCTGAACATTTCTGGAAAACACAGCAAAGATTCAATGGTATTTATGGCTACCACAGCATAATGGTATTTATGTTGTACCAAACATAGAAACAGATTCACTATTTTGATAAAGAATATTTTTGGTGTCATATAAAAAGGAAAACACAGGATTTATATATTCCCATGGAGGCAGGCTTTAAATGGGACACTCAGATGGAATTGTGGTGGGCTGACTACCTAGTTCAATTTTTTTAAAAAACTGGTAATTGATCTCATTATCTCCACCCTTCTTCTCCCCATTTCAGGATTTGAGTAATCTTTTAAAAATGTAAATCTGATTTATCACTTTGTTGCTCAAACCTCCAATGTGTTCTCACTGACTCTCTGGGGCAAGTCCAAATGCTTACCATGGCCCTTGCTCATGTCTGATCTCATCTCATGACACACTGATTTCCTTTCCATCCTGTTCCTTGAACACACAGATCTCTTTTCCTCAGGGCCTTTGCACATACACATCCCTCTGCCCAGAACACTCTTTCCTCTACATATCTGGCCAATTCCTACTCGCCTTTTTGGCCTTGACATAAATAACCTCCTCAAGAGGCCTTTTCCAAATACCTGCACACTCCACCTGGCTCCACTACTCTATTTTGGGCTCTTGTATTATTCTTTCAACTCTATTTTCTTCTTCATAGTGTTTACTATAATTTAACTCATGTACTGATTTATGTTTCTGTCTATTGAACATCTGCCTCCTGCCCCTTCCCAAGTCTAGTTTTAGGAAAACATTTTATAGAACAATGTAGTACATGATTCCAACTTCATGGGAAAACATATTGAGAAATAAAACTATGTTTTCTCCCTCTCCATACACTTAGCACAAGTGTCATTTCTCTAGAGATAGAAAGGTTGCTCCAAGTGGACATATATTCAGCACTACTCCTACATACAGTCATCCCTCGAGAGCTAGAGGGGATTGTTCTAAGACATTTCCTCTCCACTACAGATACCAAAATTTATGAATCCTTAAGTCCCTTATACAAAATGTTATCTTTGCATATAATCTACCTATATCTTCTTATATACTTTAAATCATCTCTAGAGTACTTGTAATACCTAACACAATGTGAATGCTACATAAATAGCTGTTATACTATACTATTTAAGGAATAATGACAAGAAAATTAGAGTCTGTACCTGTTCAGTACAGATGCAATTTTTTTTCCAGTGCGGGGGATCAAACTCAGGGTTTTGCATATGTTAGGCAAGTGCCCTGCCATTGGGCTATATCCCCAGCCATTTTTCAAATATTTTTGATCTATGGCTGATATGGATCTGTGGATGCAAAATGCATAGACAAAAATACAACTGTGTTTGATGTTTTTAGAAAGCTCTGGACACACTTGACAAAATGGATGTCCTGCCCTGTAGTTAGAGCAAACATTCCTAAAAGCCCTTGTATGTTGTCTCTTCTGTAATGAATATTCTGGTGTGGGAAGTCAGCCTGGGGGTGAGGGCAAGAGGTGGCAGGAAAGCAGATGGCCCTGTGCTATTTCTGGGCTTTGCCAGGCCCACCAAGTTAGTCTGTTGGCCTCAATTACATCATCTCGGCTGAGCACAGCAGCATGGCTCTAGCACAAGCCAAGAAGTTCCCAGTATTTCTTTAGACTACTATCAAAGTTGGAAATATGAGAATGAACACAAAACATGGTGTCCATTTCATTACAGGTATAGTCTCACAAGGATGAAGCAAGCCTGGAACTTGCCTCCTAGTGAGATTTGCAAGTTAAGAGAGCAAGACTCCTAAGGAAAGGGTGCCCATCTCCAAGATGTGAGGGCCTAATGTTTAGGGTGGCCTCACTTATTTAATACACCTTCACCACCCTCATGCCATCACATAGGCATCTTAGCTGATGATTTCAAAGAATCAAAATCAGAAGGGAATTCTAAAAGCACAATTTATTTCCTGAATAAATATAAAATACTATACACCAACATGGCAGGAGGTCACATAACCTTTCTCAGTCACTTATAACCCAGAACATAGCAAAACTTGCCTTTGGTAAACAAAGGCCACCCATCAGATGGGCAGTATAATTACTAAAGGCAGGGAAGAGATTTTGGTAAAGAGAGAGGAGGTGACGGAATGGACTATAGAGGATTATACATATTTAGCATCTAATTCTTATTGCAGAAGACTGGCCTACACAATAAAGAAAAATGAAGGAGTTTACAGTTTAGATTCAGAAAGTTCTTGTGTAACAAACTTATGGTGCATAAAAATCATTGTAACCAACAACTCTCATGGACAAAGGAACATGGGGAAAGTCTGCATCTTTTCTGATAAAATTACCCAGGATGGAACAAGAACTTAGACCAAGATGTCGATTAACTTTTAAGGGCAACCTTCCATACCAAGAAGACCAAAAAGAAATCATCTTCATCAATTATTTGCAGGCTATAACATTACAACACACAATTTGAGATCTAAGACAAGTCAACAGGAAAGGTAATAACATATCTATGTGAGGCCGATGTAACAAACAGGAGCTCACTCAGTCACCTGACAGATAGAGATCAAGCACCCTGTGTGCCAGTGCTAACTCTACCTCAGATCCTGTGCTCTCTGCTGGGGCATTAGAGGAAGAAGTGCCCATAAGGAGATGGGAAGGAGGAAGAAGAGAACAACCTAGTGACCTGGTTTTGCTAGAAGCCAGTTTATTTTGCTCATTCATGTTTGCTGCTACAGAGGACTCTGCTTAGCAAGGCTGCAATGAGCATCTCTGGAAGAATTAGGCCAGTGCACAACGTGAGCATTGAAGAGAGCTCTGAAGCAGGCTTAGCCAACCTACCTGTGTGAGTCTTGAGTCGCTATGCACAGCTGAGTTTCTCAGCAGGGGGGCAGTGTTACCCTCCAGACACAATATATGCCAGGAATACAAGACAGCACATACCTGGGCGGACAGGGCTCTGTGTTACAGGCCTGGCTCATTGCTGGAGGACGGTGGACCATATCACACAAGCTGTCATTGACTGTCTGCTGGGTCTGGATGTGTAAGCACACTGCTATGGCTTCTTGATGGCCTGGAGGGTGGTAAGAGAAAAAAATGCAAATGACATAGAATAGCTTATTGTAGAGAGAAAGAAAACAAGGTCTTAGGTCTTCTCATTCTTAGGTTGCTGCCCTTTCAACTACATCATGGGGCTGCAGGATGAATTTCAGGGCACAAGTACAAGCAAACACCTTGACATGACCCAAAGTCTCCCCATCTTTGAAGTCCTTCATTCACATTTTAAGCACAGTCCCTCTCCTCTCTCTCTCTCCCCCAAGCCCACTCATCTTGACACATTTGATTCTCCATCTACCCTCAGACTTACCTGCATCTAAATGTACTTGAAGCCAGGAGTCCCTCCAAAAGAATCATTACAATGATCCTTCCCATAATGTACAACAGTTTCCCTAAGAGGAATTTTCATGCCAGCTGCCAAAGAATCACATTTGCTCTATATCATTTCATATGTGCCAAATCCAATGTATAACTTTCAAAATTTTTCATTATGGTTTGAGATGCTATTCACTGTTACCATAATTAGTAATATTTTGATTGCTAACAAAACATAGCAATAATTTCCATTGAGAAAGTGTACAAAGTACTTTCATTATGTTATTTGAGCCCAAAATTATCTTGTGAAGCCAAAAATGATATTCTTATCTCCATTTTATTAATTTAATAAGGAAACTGAAGTTTGGAAAGAAACGCAGACAGCAAAATGTGGCAGATTAAAAACTAAAAATTAAATTCCCTGCCTCCAAAATGTAATACATCCCCAAGTAGTGACTGCTCCTTGTTCCAATAAGAACTTCCACAAGTGTATTTTTCCTCTGAGGCCACAAAGATCTGTCTCACCCCAAAGCCCATGTTTTCCACCGCTCTTCTTTGTCTGTTAAGACAAAAGAGAATTACTATAAAATTGGAATTGAATAAAATATAAATCAAAATTTTGATTAAAAAAGTCAAATAAGAATGGTAACAGCCCCTGACCATGCTATTTGAAATATGTAAATGTAGTCAGTTTCATGTTAGAATGCACATTCCATTACGTTACAACTTGTGGTTCTTTTTCCAAATGCCATGTTTCAATCCAATCATTTTACAGCACTCTGCAGAATGCAGTATAGGCCAAAAACATTTATAAAATATATATTTGAATACTCAGTTCTTTCCAACAAATTTTCTCCTGCTGCCTTCCATTGTAATTTTATGGTGCCTGACATAGTGGGATGCAGTTTTAAATCTACATGCATCTTCCTTGAACTTTTAAAATAAACATTGGCTAACCTGAAATGTAAGAAAATACTGCTACAACTTCATAACTGGTTCTTATTTGCAAATATCAAAGCTTCCTTAGTGACTTAACATGTATATTAATGTTCATTTTATAGTAGTTTCATTCTTTTTTAATCTGAGAAAAATCCAGTTTCCTTTGGAATACAGTTTAATTTGAATTAAAAATTCTTTAGAAAATATATTGAGACTATTATGAATATTTTTTGGAGACTAGCTGGGGAGACTTTAAGCACTACTTTAACCATTTTTGAATGGAATTGTCAAATACTTGTGACACACTTCTCTGTCTTGCAGCAAGTTTGTTGAAAAGAATTTAAAATTTTACTAGATGATTTGGCATATTTTTGGTATAGAATCATTTTCCAAAGATAGCCACAAAATATTTCTCATCTGCCATGCTGGTCTTACGATGTGACCTTGACACTTTCTACTTCAAGAGGTTTCATCAAACAATTATCTTAAAAAATAAAAGTAAAATAGCTGGACATGGTCGTGCACACCTGTAATTATAGCAACTGAGGAGTCTGAGGCAGGAGGATCACAAATTCAAGATTAGCTTGGGCAACTCAGCAAGACCCTGTCTCAAAAAATAAAAAGGGCTGTGGACACAGCTCAATGATAGAGCACCTTTGGGTTCAATGCCCAGCAGCAACAACAGTAAAACAAAAGTTAAAAATTATAAATATAAGTTTCATCTTCTACTTGTCAAATTCCAGGCAGTAATTGCAACTATGCATTTAAATATTTAAATTAAATCAAGAATTGAAATTTCAGGATGATTTTTCCAGGAAATTCCCTGACTGGCACAAAGTGACAACATTTACTTCACATTTGACTTCAGTAGTGTTATGATAAAAGGATCTTTTTCCTTCTTTCTTTCTTTTATTAAATATGTCACTTAATGACAGAGACAAGGTCTAAGAAATACATTCCTGGTGATTTTGTCACTACTGTGACAACATCACAAAGTGTACTTATACAAATGCATATGGCTATGATATCACTTGGTGATATAACCTTAAGGGATCACAGTTACATATGCAGTGCCGCATGACTACACATATATACTCCAAGTCTTCATCAAGAAATAAATTAATGATTAAAGGGTAAAACACAGACTCTAGGAGAGAAGCAAAGCCAAAAACGAACTAACACATTCCTTTTTGTTGGCTTAGATTAGTTTGAGTTGGGTTCCTCATATGTATATAAGAGTCTTGACTGGTTTAAAATGCAAAATGACACACATACACAAACACACACAGATACAGGCCTAGAGCCATTGTTCTGAAAAGAACAATTAAAATATTTTTTTTAATCTGCAGATAAACTGGTATGATAGAGTAGCAAACACATAAACTCTAAGGTAATGAAAACTAGGGGAAGCATCATATGTTATGGACTCAGAGAAGAGCCAAAGAACAGTATCACGCATCACTAAACATTCCAGTTTCACAGCGCTCCAAATAGGTGAGGAGCCAGTTGAAGAGACAGCTGGTAAAGATTAAGGGTTGTCCAAAGCCATTTGGTCCTATGAAGGGTATCATAAACATCACTGGAGCCTGAGAGGAAGTGACCAATTATATTAAGAGTAGCTGGAAAAAACTACAGCTTGAGGCCTGTCATGATTGAAGGGATTCACAGAGAACAAAACAGTGACAGCTAATGTACCATGTCGGGAACACGTCTCCACAGGGAGCATGTATAAACGAGCCCAAAGCGAGCCCATTCAATTTTTATTCTCGTTCCACTGTTTGCAGGAAGGCACTCTGGTATTCCACTCTACATAACAGAGTATACCTACACACATCAGTGTCACTCATAAATATATGCAAAATCCTAAATTAAATACTATCAGATCAGTCTGCCATAAAATACTACTACATTGTGACCTCAAAAGCCTGTCCTCTCACCTACCCAATCCCTCTGAAAAAATATTCATGCATGCACACAAAACAGAAACTACCAGGTAGCAACTTTCTTTCATAAGCATAGAAACCCACCTTTGGATTACTTTGCCTTTCACTTTCATTCTGGAGATTTCTCAAGGTCTTTCAAATATTATCCAAGATTATCTGACAATAACCCAACCCAACACAACACATACACACCCAACTCCCCCTCAACTCATGATGCAGTCCAGTCATCTCCTCTCTGTCCTATCATGGCCAAATATTGCCCCCCCCCCCCCCGAAAAAAAAAATCTGCTCATTTCCATTTTGTCATCTCTCAGTCATTCCTCAGCTCTCTTAAATTTGGCCTCCATCTCTGCTATTCCACCGAAAAGACCCTTTCTTTGGTCACCCCTGACTTTGCATTGCTGAGCCCAGTGTCAACTCTGAATTCCTTGCAATCCCACCATACCACACCCTTGTGTTTTCTCCCCATCTTACTGATCTTTTCTTCTTGTATATTTTTGCAGCTCTGTGTCCTCCACCTAGCCATTAAATGTTGATTTTCCTCATGACTTTGACTTTAACACACTCTTCACATATATCTTCTTCCTGAAAATTCTCAGCCACACCTCTGTGCATCTGCAGTTCAGATGTCTCCCCTTTGCTTCAGAATCACACACCTGACTGCTATGTGGCATCTCCATTTGGAAAGTCTAAAGGCACCTTAAAAATATTAAATGAATTCATTGTTTTCCTCCTCAAACTGGACACTCATCACCTTCTAAAAGAAGGCTCAGACTCAGATTAACCAACTCCTTCCTGTTCACCCTCTCCCTTGACAGACTCTTCTACATCTCTCAAAGTCATCCTCTACCTTCCCTGACACCACCACCATCCCTACTCCAGAACAAGCTTGCCTTCTTTCTTTCTTTCTTTTTTTTTTTTTTTTTTTTTTTGTACTAGGGATTGAATCCAGGGGTATTTAGCCTCTGAGCTGCATCCCCAGCCCTTTTATTTTTCATTTTGAGACAGGGTCTCACTAAGTTACTTACAGCCTCACTAAGTTGCTAAGGATGGCTTTGAACTTGTGATCCTCTTGCCCCAGCCTCCCAAATCACTGGGATTACAGGTGTGCACCACCATGCCTGGCATTGCCTAGAAAAGGCAATAGCTTCCTGTTGTCCCTTATGTCTATTCTTGTGCCTTATGTTCCACTCTTTATGATGAGAGAGGGTGGAAATAAATAAAAAATTGGTCACTCCCTCTTTAATTACTAGAATGGCTTCCTATGATCTTCAAAGATCCAAATCAAACTGGCCTGCTGTGCCTCAATTTTCTGGCCTCCGCCTTCCTCCCTAGCATCATTTCACATTGAGCTCTGCCTTACTGTCAATACCCCAGCTATACCTGGCTCCTTCAGGTCAGGAAGTGTGTCACATACCCTGCTGCACATCAAGGGCCTCTGCACATGCTCTCTCTGGGAAGTTCTCTCAGCCCCCCCCCCCACCCCCAACCCTCCTTTGCTTAGGCTTTCCCTTACTTTACTAATTAAGCCAAGTTCCCTCTCTTGTATGCTTTCATAGTATCACATTCTTTTTTTGCAGCTGCTATCACCAGTGGTAACTGTACACATGTGTGTGATCATGTGATTAATGCCCTTACCCTATTAGAATGGAGTTGCAAAGTTAGGAGCTACTGATTCCCTATCACCCAACCTACTACACGGAAACACATACTAACTATTTGATAAATGTTGTTTGAAATGAAAAAAAAAACATAGATTTCCATTACTGCTAGGACCAAGCCAATATTGATATTATCCACATTATGAACTATTGTTTGTGAAATTCTAGACAAGCAATCAGATATGAAACATGATAAATATTTTGTAGAAAGAATAAAATCTTCAATATCTGCAGATTGATTACATAGAAAACTCATAAAAATGAGCAGGAAAACTATTAAAATATTAAGAGATTCAACAATGTCAGTTTTGTGTTGTTCTTATTTTTGTTTCTTTTTATGGTGTTGGGGATTAAACCCCAGGGTCATGAGCGTGTTAGGCAAGCACTCTACCAATGAGTTACATCTCCAGTCCCAATGGAGAAAAAAAAAAAGAGAGAGAAAATTTTTAAAAAGAGAAAAAATAATCAGCATTCTAATGTAAAAGAAATACCCTATTATTATATCACAGCAATAATAACCCAACTGATGTTCATTACGTACCATGAACCAGGCATTATGATTAAACACTTCTCCAATATCACCTATTTAATACTCACATTTAATCCTTTCATTATTCCCAGTGAGGTAGGCATGGCTTTCCCCATTACATAAAAATGAACCACCCATCTACAAATTTCAATAAATATCTCAAAGAGAGCAGCAGAGCAGGGGTCAGACCTCACAAGTCCATTTAGTACTAGCCTGTGCTGTTAGAAAATATATAGGTAAAGACAACAACAGTATAAAATATGAAAGGACTTTGGTAAGGAATGTTTATGATGTAGCAAATTCTTCCCAGAGGGCACTAAAAAGGGGTATACACACACACACACACACACACACACACACGCAGTGCTGCACACCCGCCCAGCCTACCTACCTCCCTGCCTGCACAGGCATGCACACTTGCACTCGCACATGTATACACACACACATGCACTATGGAAGCTGGAGACTGAGTATGTCTGGATTCATCCCACTTTCAGGAATTAAAAAAAGAACTCTCTTGCTATTTGCTACTCTAATGTGAAAGAAGACTTATGCAAGGTACTTCAGCATCAACAATTTCAAAAAACGGTTTTATTTCCCCTATGATGTGAAGATAAGCTAGCAAATATACAGAATTTGAAGATGTGGCCAAAATTTTTGTTTTCAGAATTTGTAATTTGTATTTGTTACTCTTCTACCAGAATAGGGGTATTTAAGAAATAACTTCATGGCTTTGAGAATTCATCTCACTGTGATGTCAGTCATCACAGGCTTGTCCTCTCTGCTATCCAAAGTGAGGGTTTAAAAGCCCACATTCACATATAAGTGGACTTGTGGGGGCTCAGGTTCTAGAACTATGATAAAAGAGGTCACAGAGAGGCAAATGTCAGTGATTATAAGAATTGTGTTTGAAATAATGAAATCGAAATAATCAAAATCTGTGCTCCATCAAAGACTTGTCTTATTCATTTTATATTCCTGATATTTAGCACAGAACTCAGTAAAAATTCATAGGGTCTAACAAAATAAGCACTCAATTTCCAGTTTTTGTAGAGAATTTTGGTTCCACACCTTAGCTCTTCAGTTTTATAGAGTTTATTCATTTTTTAAACTTGAACCCAAGAAATTAAAAACATAACTTTTTATAAAGTTATAAAGCTTATTATATTCACTTATATAGTTCAACTAACCAATCCTTTCTAAAGAATGACAAGTTGTTCATTTTCACTTAAGAGGTAGTCAAGGGTTCTCTGAGCTTCCTCAACTGTAAAATTTAGGTTAGTGGGTGCTCAAGGTTCATTTTAATCCCAGAATTGCACAGTAAAGTACACCCTTACAGGGCTAAGAGGCTGCTTAACTAAGTGTTGAAAGATTACCAAATTGAGCTCTGTCAAATTTTGTAAAACAAATTCCAGATTTACAAGACTACAGCAGAAAGAAAGTACCTGTAGCTTAGGGGTAAAGCACTTGTCTAGCATGTGAGAAGCCCTGGATCCCATCCCTAGTACAAGGGGGAAAAAATCAAATATCCATCTGCATACTGAGTGGCATTTCTCACAGTTTTTCTTCCCACAGCAGGACAAAAGGTCCACTGGGAAGATAAAGATAATCTCATTAGTCAAGTTTCACATTGTTTCATAAAACATTTATGCTTTAAATAGATTGCTGTATGTATACACATGGATGTATAACCAATGTGATCCTGCAATCTGTACACGTGGAAAAATGAGAATTCATACCCTATTTGAATCAAATGTATGATATGTCAAGATCATTGTATTGTCTTGAGCAACTAATAAAAAAATAAATAAAATTAAATTTAAAAAAAGTTATTCTATCTACCCTTAAGTACATACTCATGGGAAATTAAAATATATGTCTACACAAAAAGTGTTACATGAATGTTCATAGCATAATATACAAAACATGAAAATAACCCAAATTGCCATCAATTGGTGAATGTCTAAATAAAATGTGGTGTGACCACATAATGGAATACCATTTGACCATATGAAGGAACAAAGTCCTGAAACAGACACAACATGGATGAATCATGAAAACACTAAGCTAAAAGTGAGAGAAGCCAGTCATAGAGGACGCATATTGCAGGATTCCACTAAAAGAAATGTCTAGAACCATCACAAAATAGATCAGTGGTTGCCGGGGACTGAGGTTTGAAGGGTTCTAAGATTGACTAGGTTGATGATTACACATCTTTGTGAATATACTAAAAAAGACTATACTGTATATTTCACATCCATAAACTATATAATTGTAAATTATGTCTCAATAAAACTACTACAGAAAAAAAAAAAACAGAAAATCACTCCAGCAGGTGCACTCATATGGGAAGGGGAGTCCACAGTCATCTCAGTGGGTGCTGGGGACAAAAAAGCAAATGCTAGCATTTTAGTATCAGGCTCCAAAAAATGAGGTCTAACAGCAGCTGAATTAGAATTGACTCTCCCAACTGAATTAGAATTGACTTGGTCATCTTTGAGGGGTTCCATTCCAAATGGTCTATTGAGTTCTAAGGGTACAACATATTGTCTTTTCCCATATTAAGAGGAGAAGAATTGAAATCATAGATGACAGAGTAATAGAAGATACACAGATTTTTATCAATGACAATATTTAAAAGCTTGAGATTAATGAAATAGATTTGGGGGTGGGTAAACAATAAGAGGACTCATTCTTGCTTTCCTAATGAAAGATACAGCTCCAAGTCCCTGATAAGATTGCAGCAATGTGGTGACTGAGAAGTGGTGCAGATATTTATCATTTTGTACTTATGTAGTAGAAAGTTCCCGGCACCTAGTACAGTGATTATGTGATTGTCAGTGGCCATCTCTACAGGGTTTCCCTAGGCTCATGGAGAGAAAGGACCACATTGCAAATTGCCAAGGGCGTGTCAGTGCTAAGATTTCCAAGACATGTATACATACATACATAAAGAGGTATCCAGAATTATGAACATGGAGAGAGGATTAAGCTTTCAGCAGGAACAGACACAAGGCAGTGTTGGGGGCAACTGAGACTATGTGTCGTGGAGGGAAGAGACACAGCAAACGTGTACGCTCCAAAAGAACCAGAAAGGCTAAATTCCTAGCTGGATGGAATAAACTTCTAGGAACTAAGGAGAAGTCTTTCTTCCCAAGACAGGAAGAAAGACTCCAGAGGCAGCTAAGGATTCCTCTCCTAAATTCCTCCATGTGAAAGGCTGGATGAGACCTACCTCCGGTTGAGGCACATGCCACTCTGGCAATTTTAGAGAAGAGGTGTCAAGGATAGGCTGGTTTAGGGTTGAATCACACAGCAACAAGAAAGATAGATACCATTGATTTATGGAGCGAGGATTATGGCAAGGATTGAAAATTCAGTCTCAAGAGTTTAGGAAACAAAAGGTGAGGGGTTCACATATAACACACTCCAAGATCAATAAGGATTTCCAAGCAAAGGATGCAGGACCCCCTGGGGGTGAGGAAGGTTCTTCTGAGCCAGTGTCTCTGAGGCAGTGGCTCCCTGTATGTTCCTTGCTTTGGCTGGGACTGACTCAGAATATGCTCAGGTAAATTCTAGGGCAGCTGGCTAGAAGCCACGATGAGGAGTCAGAGGACACGGTGTTCAGGGCCCTGGGTTTCTAGAGAGGCTATCTCTTTCGTGTTGGTAAAAGAACTAGCTTTCTTTTTGATAATTTCTATTCCTTTCAACAGAGCCCTAAAGAATGGCTATCTGTATGTCTGTTTCCTGCCCATCTGCTTGCTTTTGGATCCTGTAGTGCTTAAATAATCCAGAGGGAAACTTCTGTACCCTGAGGGGTCAGGCTACACAAACCCTTCTTAATCCTAACAGGGCTTCCTGCCTATGCATGTCATCCATCCATACACACACATATAAATCATGGTGACTGGTTCCTTCTGCACTGGTTCCTGTCCCAATGTGCAGGACAAGCTCTGACCGAAAGTTGCATCCTCTGTGATAATTCAAGGCTCCCTCGATGTGTATTTTCAATGCCAGATGGATTCGACTTATCCATTCTGCATTTCCCTATCTATCCAATGTTAGCCAGTGAGGCCCAACCCATCTCAGTTATGCAGATTCTTACTGCCCAAGAAACATATGATTTTTTTTATTAGGTTACAATCCCATTACCTTTTGCCTTTCTAAAATAATAGCTAAAAACATGAAAGAAAAGCCTAGTTTTCAGTTGTTGGAATGACTTTATCCCCTTTAGACTTCTGCTAGTGTGCTTATCTTGTTTACCCAATTTGGTAACTTCTCAAACCACTAGAAAAACATGACATAACTGTCCCTTAAGCAAAGGTTCAAGTACCTCCCAAGCATGTTGCTGTGCAAGGAGTGAAGCCAGCATACTCCCAGTCGTAAGTCATGTCACTGTCCTTCTCTTGGAGAGGGACGTCCAGCTCTCTCGATGCAAGACTCTCGTTACAAGCTTCAATGAGGCATGGCCGCTCTGTGGGCAGCTTGGGGCCTTCACACTCTTCCTCTGGAAGCTCAGTTTCTGTCTGTGTGAATGTGAGCAGCACTCGGCACTTGACCTCTCTCACCTGTATGCCCGGCCCACATGTGGTACTGCAGGCTGACCAGGGATCCGGAATGAACCTAAGGAAAATCACAGGGCCAGGAAAGGAGGTCACACACAGGCTGTAACAGGAATAGTGTCAGGCAATCAACAAAGGAAAACATAACCATCTGCCTTCAGAGGGAATTCATTTGGGGTGCTGCACTTCTATTATGCAGTTAACTATCCATTATGCAGTTAACAAACTTTCAGATCTTATAAACAACAGAAAACAAAAAACTATGCCCTACTCTTGCATCTGTATAAAAAATCAAATTCTGTGCTATGATAAGAACAAACTATTGTTACAAAAGTTTATGTTTTCAATATTTAGTAATAAATAAATCATCATGTAGACATAAATTCTAATAGGAGTTTAAATTCTAATAAAGTTTTCTTTGCAGCCCATCCCTCCTTCTACCTCCTTTAATTTATTTTAAAATATGGAGATTTTCACCAATATTTATTGAGTCTTTTGCAAACTTATTTATATATATATTTTAATTGTATATTATATATATATATATATATATATATATATTTTTTTTTTTTTTTAATTGTAGTTGGACACAATACCTTTTTTTTTATGTTGTGCTGAGGATCGAACCCAGGGCCTCATATGTGCTAGGTGAGCGCTGTACCACTGAGCCACAACTCCAGCCCCATGAGCTTATTCTTTACAACAGATGTTGTAAAGAGATGTTATAAAGAATGTTTCAATGTTTAGGGGCTAACCTATAGGCTATCTTATATGCCTTTTGCAAAATACACAAAGCTTTAATATTCTTTCATATTTACTATGTTAATGCACTAAGATGCTGAATCTTCTTTAAAATATTAAAGGTATTTCACAATCTGGCTGAATGAAGCACTTGTTTCTTATCCTAAATTATTACCCACTAAATCAAGGGTGGCCAAATGATGGACTTTGGATATGTATATCTAATATGATTTTATCTGTATTACTTCTTCTTATTATTATATCCACAAAATTCTTACTCTCTCCCCACTACTCCTAGTAATATATTTTTTTAAAGGCAAGAAAGGAACATAGTCATATGAGAACACTGAAGAGCCACTTCCAGGTGAAACACACCCAGAGGACAACAGTGTGTTCCCTGCATCTCTGTACAACAGAAGGCCTTAAGAACATGAATTCACTCACATGGGAGTTTAGATATGAGACAATGAAACAATGGAATAAAATGGAAAACTGCAGAGCTGAGGAAACCAACTGTGAAATGTAAAAAGACAATTAGAAATCTAAGAAGTAATTCAGGGGCTGGGGACGTGGCTCAAGCGGTAGCGCACTCGCCTGGCATGCGCAGGGCACTGGGTTCGATCCTCAGCACCACATAAAAATAAAATGAAGATGTAAAAAAGAAGTAATTCAGAACAAGGGAAAAAAAGCAGAAAAGACATGACTGAAGATCAAACTGATGACACAGGGAGGACTTAGAAGTTAATATGGTGTTCAGAAAGAAAGAAAAGAAGTAATTAAAGATATTAGGAGGTAGAAGGAGGGATGGGCTACAAAGAAAACTTTTGTTGGTGATGGAAAATGGAGATCATAACTATTTAGTAATGGTAACCAATTTAAATGGATTAAATTCTCCTATTAAAAAGAGTCTCTGATTTATGAAACCATAGAAGATACAAATAAAATGAAATGACTTCAGAAACATAAAATGTATAAGGATAAGCAAAATGAGATTTTAAAATACAAATTAAAATAAAACAGAAGGTCAGAAAAGCAGATGCACATATTAGAAAAGAATAAACAGAATAGACAAAAAAAATATCACTATTTGAAGATGACCTTATAATTTTGAAAAAACAGTAAAATTAACTGAAATTTTTCGGAAAAAAATAAAAGAATTTAATAAAGTAGTCTATAACTATAAATGTATGTGTATCTGTAAAGAAATACAGATATATAGTGCATATCCTAAAATTACCAGTTTTCCCAGAATTCAGCTAACAATGTTTGCTGCCAGGCCATATGCTAAGCATATTACATGTATTATTTAATATAATTTACACAACAACTTCAGGAGTTGTCATTATTTTTCTATTTTTACAAATGAGAAAAACTTTTAAAAGTATAAGAAAAATTACTTAAAATCCATGAGTTTGTTATGTATAAGAAATATGCAGACCTGATACAACTAAAACTTTAAAAACCTGAGGAGATTCTGAGCCCAAAGACAAAGTACGCTTTATTCCTTGAACAGGAAGAACTCAAAATTACAAAGATGTTTGTTCTCCTTTGCTTAATTTAGAAATAATGCAGTTCCAGTTCTGACATCTAAGGCAATTTGGGCAGGGGTTTGGGCAGGGGTATGGGCGGGGGGGGGGGGGGGGGGGGGGGGGGGAGGGAGGGGGCGGACAGACACAGACAATACAACTCTAAAATTTTATAGAATGTTAAGTGAGTATGGGCTGGGGATGTGGCTCAAGCGGTAGCACGCTCGCCTGGCATGCGTGCAGTCCGGGTTCAATCCTCAGCACCACATACAAACAAAGATGTTGTGTCTGCCGAAAACTAAAAAATAAATATTAAAAATTTTTTTTTAAAAAAGAGTAACTGCACATCCTGATTAAAACGATAAAATAATTCAAATAGTATGGCACCAGTAATGCCATACTTTACAGAATGATGACATTTTAAAATCAAAATGAGTAGTTTATTCAATAGATGGTGCTAAGTTATGAAGTTGTTTGGGAAGAAATTAAGTCAGACTGATTTTTTACTATGACATGTCAAAGTAAATTCCTTCTGGATCAAAGCTCAGTGTAAAATATAAAACCATAAAGATTACTAGAAAAGAGTATTTTTAAAAAAGGTAACTTCCCAGCAGGCCCTGAGGGCACATGCCTGTAATTCTAACAACTTGGGAAGCTGTGGCAGGATGATCACAAGTTCAAGGTCAGCCTCAGCCTGAGCAACTTAGTGAGATCTTGTCTCCATAGATAGATAGATAGATAGATAGATAGATAGATAGATAGATAGACAGACAGACAGATAGGGCTGGGGATGAAGCTCAGTGGTAAAGCATCCCTGGGATCAATCCCCAGTCTCCCCGCCCCACCAAAAAAAAAGATAATTTTCCAATGTTAATTAAGGTGTTTCAGGAAAAAAGATGAGCTTTGTTACTGCTGCTGGCAGGAGAAATCAGTACCGATTTTCTGAAAGGAAATGTGACTGTAGGATTTAAATGCCTTCAATGTGTCTGCCTGTTTTCTGGCCCAGAAACTCCACTCCAGCAAATATTGCCTAATGAGACAATTAGAGATGTGTCATCTGGGATTTGTTGCTGTTTTGTTTATCACAGAGAATAATCAGAAACAAACTGCAGACAGCCAGAGAGATCTTTCTATAATGCAACCCAGCAGCAATTAGGTTCTTTTCCTTCAATGGCTGCCACTGCCTCCAGAAAAATCCAAGCTCCTTAATGAACCACAGAACATCTCCAGGACTTGCTCACTTCTCCACCTGCAACCCTGCTGCTATCACTGCCCCACTCCACCCCCTGGCTTGTTTCCACACTCAGACTACCTAAACAGTCTACACACAAGCTACTCCAAATATCTGAATTGCTGTTCTTCTGACACCTCAGGACATTAGGATCTCAATTCCTGTATGATCTCGCCCAGGAAGCCATCCCTGATTCTTAAGGATACATGATGTCATCTTACCATAAGGTAATCACAGTACACTGTAATCTTACACTCCACAAAATACCATAGTATAGCACTCACTTCTCTGTCTACTCCATTAGACCAACCTTGGATTGGTGAGACTTGAATTGGAGTCATGTGACATGAAACTGCAGTTCTTCCCAGTACAGAGTGAGTCTCCCTTATCCAAAATGCTTGAGACCAGAAGTGTTTCAGATATTGAATATTTTTTATTCTGGAATATTTGCATATACTTAATGAGCTATCTAAAGGGTAGAATCCAAGTATAAACACAAAATTCATCTGCTTCTTATAATCTTTATACATATATCTTAAAGATAATCTTACTACATATTTTTAGTGCATTTTGACTACAGCCCATCACCATGAGGTCAGGTGTGGAATTTTCTATTTGTGGTATCATATCTATGCTCAAAAAGCTTCAGAGTTGAGAGCACTGTGAGTTCTGTATTTTTGGATTAGGGATGCTCAACTTGCACCAATTGTGTAGAATCATTGTCCACTACGGGATAGCTCTGAAATGGTGAACAATTCCTTATTCTTTCTGTGCCTTGGCTTCCTCTGCCCAAAATGAAGACAATAATAATATTATAGGATTGTTGTGAAAATTGAGAATTAATCCATGTTGAACCCTTAAACATGGTCTGGCATAAAAGAAGCCCTCAATATTTGTCATTGTTTAGCAAACAGATTCTCCTGGCATACAATCTAATTTGATTTTGGCACATACAATTTCAATGGAGAAGCTAAAATAGTAGTGAAGAAAACATGCAAAGTGACTGTCTGGTTTCTTTAGTGTTCACATATGAAAAATGGGAGCTCGGACAACAAAACTGCAGAAGTGTTGAGAATCCCATAGAAATGAAGAAGGCTCCAGGGAGGAACTTAAAACAACTTCCAACCGATGAACCATATCGACCATGGACACATTCCACAGCTGAAAGCTAAGGTTGAAACTGCAATTCCCTTCCCTTGGCTTAAGTTTATAAGCTAAGCTATAATTTTTATTTTCCTAATTAAAAAAAAAAAGCCTTTTGAACATCCGCTCCCTATGTAAATTCAGAGCTTGGGCCATGGTAAGCAGAAATATTTATCTTCTCCAGGCTGGTTTGGCAGGCTTTCCTCCAGGGATCTAAAATACAGCTGTGCTCATCTCCTCGTCCATTGTCAACAGTAAGCATCCCCAAGCCACAAAAGACAGTGGTAATAAAAGGATGAACTGGAAGCTGAGATACGCTGTGGTTTTGTTTGGAAATTGAGGGAATGAACAGAGTCAGAAGTGGCAGGAAACTATAAACTTTACACCAGACGGCCAGGAACAGGCCAGAAACTGGCAGGCAGTGTGAACTGCACAGGAAGATTGCATGGATCCCTCAGAGGGGGAGATATGGGAAGGTAGGGAAGAGGCAGCTGTGCACATTGGAGGATCAGGTGCTGCTGGCCCAGTCTTCCAGGCTGGGAGAGAAGGGTGGTGGTATCCTTCAGGGGTAAAGAGCATATTAGCTCTGCTTGTGGACAGGGGAGGAAGAACCCCCAGCAAAGTCAATGGGGCTGACGGAAACTATAGATTTGGAATGACTATGAGCTGAACCACAGTAGCTTATGCAGCACTGCCCTTTTCTAATTCAATAATATGAACAGTATTTTCTGATTTTGGAAGGGACTTTGGGAGCATCTGATCCAGTGGTTCCCAAAATTGGATACATACCCCACCCACCTCTCAGAGTCACCCGGGGGGTGCTTGTTTAAAAATGCTGGTGACTGGAATTTGTAAAGACAGAAGAATAGAAGGTACCAGGGTCTGGGGGTGGAGCAGGAGGGAAGTAAATGGGGAGTTATTATTTATTGGGTTCAGAATTTATGTTGGGGATGATGAAAAAGTTCTGGAGATGGATAGAACAACAGTGTGAATGTATGTAATGCCACTGAACTGTCTACTTTAAAATGGTTACAATGGTAAATTTTATGCTGATAAGGTCTTACTATAATAAAAAAAATCACAGATCCAAAAGAAAAAAAAATATTGGTAATAGGTCTCTACTCTCAGTGTCTGAAACAGAAATCAGAGTTTAAAAAGTAACACAGGTGATTCTGATAGAGGTGATTTGAGGACAACCATTTTAAAAAATGATATTTTTATTATAAAAAATACTCTTTCCTTTTTATAGATGCACGTTGAAGTGTTTATGAGTGACATGTCATGTCGTCATGTCTGTCAGGGTGGGAACAGTATTGGTGGTATAGATAAAAAAGAGTGGTTTTGAGGTGATAGTTGTTGACAGTGAGTGATGAGCACATGGGGGTCCATTATAATATTCTTCTATACAGGTTTTAATTTTTCTATAATATAGAAGTTTTTAAGAACACAATATGAGGGGCACATTCTCAACAGATAAGAAAGAACAGTGAAAGGGGTGGAGGTGAGGGACAATCTGCTATGGGCAAGAACAGCCAACAGGTCTGTGCGGCTGAGTGTCCCTTTCAAGCCAAAGCAAGAAATTGGCCAGGGAAGGGGCTGGGCCCAGGAAGGGCAACTCCCTTTAAAGTGCTGGCCTATTGAACAAAGATAAATCTTTAGGTGATGAGGATGCATTTGGATATTCTGAATATTGCAAAGGAAGAATAAGATCTATGCCTTAGTAAGACTAGTCTGGTGGCTATATTGAGGGTAGAAGTGGAACAAGTGAGGAACAAATGACAAAGCTGTGGTAGGTATCTTGGTAAGCAAATTCAGGTCCTGGATGGGGATGGCAATAGAAACGGAGAGGAGGAGCTGAAACCAGGAAAGATTTTGGTAAATATCATCAGGATCCAGTAAGACCCAGAACTGTTCTGGACTAAAAAGTCTTATGACTTTCCTTGCAGGACCACAAATGTGCTCCTTTCTGGGATCTCAAGTCCCTTTCTTTCTATAGGTTCCCTCCTCTATAATACTGTGGCGAGCAGAGTACATGTGTGCGGTGGGTGGGTGGGTGGGTTCCAGCAGTTTAGCCCAATGCCTTCCTCATACAGTTGGAAACCTACAGATGTTGACTTACTTGTATAAAATCCTTATTATCTTTTTCATAGGTCAAGACTGACCTAACTTCAAATGAAAAATGACAACCAAAAATCACATATGTACACACACCCTTTTCTATCAGCCTATCAATCTTCACTCTTTCCTTTAGGAGACAATTACTCATTGTCTCATTTCCTTCATATTTGGAAATTCACTTCTTAAAATATCCACAATGCTTCCTTCTCTGACCTTTGAATGATACTACTGTAAAATTACCTGGAAATGAATTTCCTATCAATGAATTTACTTTCTCTCCTTCCTCCAATTTTTCCTTGACCTTCTGTGAGATTTGAATCCTATCTGCTACCCCTCCTGAACCCTGGACTCCTTCAGTCTCTGTAATAATGAGTTTTTATGGTTTGAACACATTACTCCACTGCCCATATTTTCTGGTTCCCCTTGATCCTCTAGACCTCTGGGATCTGTCATGAGCCCAACACTCCTCTCTTCCTTCAGTCACTTTGGGGTCATTCACCCTCACAGCATCCAGTGTCTTCTGTGGTCATTTTTGGGCCTGACATAGGTCCATGTGGAAAAGTCTGACTGTGTCATCACTGAGATGTGCCAGTGCTCTTGGCCTGATCACTAAAGGCATAGTGCCTTCTCACAGAGAAGCAAGCCACTGTCTCCTGGGATTCACAGCTGGACTGGACCACAGTTAGAAAGGACATTGACAAATGAGAAAATGTTCTGAAAAGAGCCATAAGGTTGGTAAGGGATCTAAAAACAACACATGGAAACTGCTGAAAAGGCTAAGAATGATGAGCTTGGAAAAGACAAAGCTCTTGGGATCCATGACAGCTTTCTTCAAATTCATGAAAACTTGTCACGTGGAATAGGAAGTAGATGTATGGTGTTTTTATTTTTTCTGTTTCAGAAAACAGAAATTAGAAAGAGGTATATTTTGGCTCAGCAGGAGAAAAAAAAAGTACTGCAAATAATTTGGGTTGTTCAATGTAAGAATGAGTTGTAAACTCTGCCCATTGCTGAAGGTGCTAAAAAAGAAATGTATGAGCTATTATGAGGAAATAGTCCCAGAGCTGCCTTAGTGTGGGGAAATGGACCCATAGTACCATGCAGATTCGAGTTTAGAACCACCACTGCTCACTAACCATGTGACCTTAGAGAAGTCTTTAAATTTTCTGTGTCTCACTGTCCTTATTTACAAAAGGGGCAGGTTGGGCTTGATCTCTCAGGGAAATGGGCCAGACTGCTGCTGAGATCTCCTCTCCTGTCTCATTCTGCATGTTCTACATGTTCTCTGTGGATAGCTTCTCATTGCCACAGACTCAACATGTCTGACATGGAACCAGCTATCCACTACTCGAGTCTATCATTGGTGCAGCTATTCTAATAGACTTCTGTGCTAAAAATTTCAGAGCACCTTGGCTCCTTCCTTGCTTTTGGTCCCTATATTTTGGCTTCCACAGAGCTTCTTTGATTTGCTCTTGATTCTGCATTGCGACTGACACCTGCAATCCAGACTTGTACCCTGTGGATAGCAGTCACTGAAATTTTGAATTGGAATGGATCCCGGAGAGATTGAGTTCAACCTACCCCTTTTATAAATAAGGAGAATGTGACACAAGAAACTATAAAGACTTGTCTAAGGTCACATAGTTAATAGCAATTGATATAAGTCCTGATACCCATAATGCCATGTGCTTCCCATTGCTCCATACCACATCAGCCCTGGATTGCTCCTTATAAGCACTCAGGTCACCTGGATTCACTTCAACATAACTGGTTTTGTAGAGTTTGGCCAAGATTTCACTATGGAATGACTGGTTTATTTGCATAATACTGTCATGGTCCTTGGTTAAATCATGTGTTAATATAGAAATTATCCCCATCTCTTAATTGCAACACAACACTGGGTCTGCTTTGAGTTAAATGACACTGTTCTTTTCTGTGCTTCTCACAGATACTGCCAAAGTGGGATGCTGAGTTGTGAAATATAGAAACATTCTAGCCAACTCAAGCTCTCTAGAGTCTGCAAACCCAGGTCATTTGGATACTGAATGTATCATTGCACTCTGATGAGTACAAAAATTACATATATCATGTTATTACTCCCACAAATGGCCCTGGACTCACGTTGGTTCTTCTGTTGCTATTCTGGTCTCTTCTAATTCTTGTGCTTGTTTCAGCCAAGGTAACTTAGCTTCCACTGGACTTTTTTCTAAGAAAAAAATGAACACAAATAATAAGCTTAATTATTATCAATCATAAGTTTTTGGATATATGAATCACTATTGGCTGAAAATGTCATTAATAAAGAGGTCATGTTTTTCAAATGCAAGTCGAGTCCTTCAGCACAGTACATTAGGTGAATTCTGGAATTAATAAAAATTTCTGCCATGTTTTTAAATTAACACATTACAAAATGCAACCCAAATGATCCCCATGATACATTTGAATGTGTTCTCAAAATTAAACATAAAAATGCCTTTCATAAATCAATACCATTTTCTGTTCTTTGCATATTAAAGCTCTTAACTTCAACAATATCAGCTTGCTTTCTTTTGCCACAAATTCTTTTGTCCACTGAACAAAGAAATTAATAGAGAAAAACAGATAGCATGGAGGTTAATAAAGTGGGAGTATGAGAGAGTGTGTGCTATGGTTTACTCAAACTTTAATTGTTGCTAAGGGAGATGATTAGTAATTACATCTGGCACGAAGGAGCAAACTGGTGCCTCCTTCTGTCCTTTGAAGCCTCCTTAGATGTGAGGAAAGAAACAAATCTAGTTGTGAAATAAGAGAGAAAATAATTTTGGGCTGCTGCTCTAGGAAAATTACAGATAATAAGAAAGTGTCTATGAAAGTACCATGGAATACAAAAGAAAGGAGAAAGGGCTTTACTGACAGTTATATAACGTGTACACCTGTCATGGCAAATGATGTTATTTTCTGTGAGAGAGACTCAGTCAAGTATGTGTTGATTGAATGGTAATTGTGAGATTATTTGAATAGATAATGAACCCAAAAATAAAAAGGGAGAATTTTAACATCCTTCTAAAATACTAAAGAGGAATCCTCTTTATAAATAGGTGAGAACAATTTTTATCCGTTTCAAGAAGGAAGCTATTTGTCATAAGGATTGATAGTGCCTTCCTAACATATAAGAAAGTAATCGTATACAGAAAGGAGAATATATTTCATCAAGCCAAGACTTATTAACCTTCTCTGATAGGAACTATTGGAGAAATTCTAAATGCACTCATAGTCCTCAGTCGGGAACCAAAAATCTTTATTTCAAGCACTATGACACATGATGACCATGCCAGTGTTCCTCCTGCAAGAGATTTAATGCTTCAGTGGAGGAGTGTATACAAAGTACTGTGAGAACAAAGGAGAAAAAAATCTTGAGGAGCAGAACAGCCGCCTCCACCGCCTCTTCCTCTGCCACTTCTTCCTTTTTCTGCTCTTCTTCCTCTTCCTCTTTTTCCTTCCTCCCCTTTCTTTTCTCCTCCTTGTTTTCTTGAAGGCAGGAACTGCATCATATTATTTGATGCGCATCAAAGAAGTACATAGCACAAGTGTGCACAGATAGGAACCACTCTCTATGTACCAAACCCACAGGGGCTCAGTTTTGCCTCCTCAATAAATCACATATGCTCAATTTCTTAATCAAGGTGGACAACTCCACTGCAAACTGTCATTAAGACACTTTCTATTAGAATATAAGCGGAAATAGAAAAAGCTGCGATATTGGAATGAGATCTGGAAAACATCATTTGATTTAAATTAAAAATAACAAAAATTTACCTTTTGGTTTATGACATGGGATGGGAATGACACATTCCTCTTTGATGTGCAATTTCAGTTGTGGATTGCAGCCCCCAACGTGCTGTCCACGATGGTTGATACAGAGAACCACCCGGTAACGTAACCCTCGGCCACAAGTCACTGTGCACTTCAAAAAAGGTAATGAGGAGACGGTGAGTTTCTTTTTCATGAAAAGGCATTATTTTATCATATGCAAAAGAAAACCATTGATCTACATAAATATTAAACATAAAAGATGTCCAAATATGTAATATATAATGAAGGGGGCAGAGGCTGTTTTTCTGAGATTCCTGTTTCCAGGCCCCTCTTATACAAGCCTGCTTCCAATTCTCAATTCACAAACTATTTAAGATGAGATCATAGCACAAGAAAAATAAATGTTCTGAAATCTTATTTTGCTTTGTATCAAATATCAAAGAAACTCAATTCAGGTTTTCTTAGGTTTGATTAAATTTAATATGATATTATCCAAAACAAGTTGTGAATCTGGAAGAAACATTTCTAAACTATAAATACAAAAATTACATTTCAATCAACCATGCTAGAGTGTTAAACTTTCCATTCTGTGTACAGAAATTGATGTTGCAAAGCCATGGTCATATGAAGAGACCATCAAAGAGTATTCGGTTAAACAATATAGGCAAAAATACTACAGATGTGTCAATTAGATAAAACATGCTAATGTTTTTCTGAGTTTTTTGTGAAGTTTGTAATTATTAGCCTTTTTCTTTGAATTGTTTATGATTTAAAAGTTACTCTTCCCTATAAATGGAATGTTTTCATGTCCTGTGAAAATCTAGGACTTTTTTTTTCTCCCTCATACTGGGGATTGAACCCAGGGTTGCTCTAACACTGAGCTATATACCTATTATTATTATTATTATTATTATTATTATTATTATTATTATTATTTTGACATAGGTGCTGGCTAAGTTGTCCAGGCTGACATAAAAATTGCAATCCTCCTGCCTCAGCCTCCTGAATTTCTGGGATTATAGGTGTGTGCCACTGTGCCCAGCTTCTACAGTATTATTTTTTAATTTATCTACATATATTGGTGTTATGGTTTAGCTCCATAATGTCCCCCAAAGTCTCATATGTTGAAAATGTGGTCCCCAGTGTGGGAATATTTAGAGGTGAGACTTCTAGAAGTAACAGGAATATGAGAGTTCTGACCTCATCAGTGGATTAATCCATTGAGGAATTTGCAGCTGACTCTTAGGAGATACAACCTAGTTGAAGGAAGTGGATTCTTGAGGGCACGCCCTTGGGGACTATCTCTTGCCCCAAGCCCCTTCTTCTCTTTCTGCTTCCCAGGCACCTCTCCTCCCCACACCCTCCCGCCATGATGTTCTGTTGCCCAAACAATGGAGCCAACTGACTATGGACTGAAACTTCTGAAATAAATAAATCTTTCCTCCTTCTTGTTATTCATGTCAGGTTTGATTATAGCAATGGATAGCTAACATAGTTGGTGAGTACAAATATGTACATGTTTAAGTTAACAGATTTTTCATGTTTTGAGATCATGTTAGGTTCACAGAAATATGAGCAGATAGTACAGCATTGTTCTATGCCCCCTTATCCCTTTTTTTTCCCTTTATCATTAACTGACTTATGTAGCATAGTTGCTACAACTATGGAATCAATATAGTAGTGTCCCTTTGTACGGGTTTCACTTTCTACATTGTCCCCTCTTCAGCAGCCTCTCTGAGAAGCTGGACTCCTACCAAGGAGGCCACTAGAGTCCATGGTATTTCCAGAGCTTCTCTTTGTAGCTGAATATATCCCAATGCGAGCAAATCCTTATCACTGAGAATATATTTCTGAAAAAAACTGAAAGGCATTAGGAGCCAAGTATAGTGAATGAGATGAGCTGGTTAACAAACTTTTTTTACATTAAAAGTGATGAAAAAGTGGTGATATTTATGGGAAGGCATACAAGCTCTTAAATCAACAGAATGCATGTTTTCTAGGACTCAAAGGGCTAATGACTGCCTATGCAGGTAGGAAAAGCACAATTGATTGAAAAAGTGCAAGTCCCTAGGGACTGAGTAACAAGTCCTTTTGCAACTGTGGCGGTATTCTTTGCATTCAACAATATGGAAAGAGAATTCAAGCAAATTGTGAGCTGACAAATCATTAAGAATGATTTTTTATGATAGACTACCACATGGATTTGGGCATATAACTCAGGAGTTAAAAGAACTAAATGAATTTGCTGAAATAAATTCCTTTAAGTCCAGTCTATTTAGGTGATCAAGTCTTCCAAGGGTGTGTGTGTAACACAAAAGGAAAAAAAAAGCCAACAATAAACATTAACAAGAAAATTACTGTTCAACCCATGTGTCATTCTGGTAATGGATACATGTACCATTTTTAAAGACTCACTCATCTTGAAGAAAGACTGATTTCAAATGAAATTTTACTTTTTATGTGTAATCACATTTTACCAAATTTGAAATAAACTCATGTTGGTTTTATTGGATATTATATTTAATAATAACCGAATCTAGGGGAACATTCTTAACATTAAGAGCCTTGTGGCCGCAGGAAACTAAAAAAAATGAAATTACTCTATGTAATTTCTTGGAGAGAGTACCATAGAGTTATCAATAAGAAACTTTAAGGCACAAAAATGCATTAGATTAGGTTAAAATTCTATAGGGGGAGCAGATTGAAAATATGATTTAAAGGGGAGAAACGTGAATATTTGAATTGTTAAAAAGTTTGTTCATGTTATTTAAATGAAAGATGGCACAGAGAGAAATCATCATGACATTTAGGTTCCACTGGACACATTTTTAAACATGTTATAACACTCTTACTTTAAAATGTCAGCATTCACAGCATGTTGGAAATGATATTCTTTGCAATTATTCAGACTTATAATAAAAAAATTTAGATGTCAACCTAAATATACAAAAATGGATATGCAATTTTTAAAACTTCTTTTGGAGGTTATGTGAATAAAAATGAGTCAGTAACCTCTACCCTAATAAGTATGGGTGAAGTTCTACAGGGGGACATTTGGTTGGAATATCAGAAGAAGATTGAAGTGGTCCTTCACCCAGCCAACTCATGTGTCCACAAGTCCCAGTATAAGTGCTGCCTCCTTTCTGAGCCTTTTCTGACACCTTCTGGAGGAGCAAATCTCTTTACCTTGTACCCCTGAAGTACTGCATGCAGAAGGCCAACTCCTGTCTCCCGTTACACTGTATCACAACTATTTGCCTGCTTGCATATCTGTGCAACTGAGCTTTAAACTTTTGGGAAGTAGGAGCAAGTTTCACTTATCATACATGGTAGTTGACATTCTAAATAGATGAGCAAATATATTAATGCATGTATATTACAGAGATCACACAAAAGAACTAGAGACACTTGAGTCAATTATGTCTGATTCTCTAGGAAATTGGGACATTAAGACTAAAATACTAAACACCAGTGCTGCATTTTTCATCTTTGACTAATCCTCTTGCACTGTATTTGTTCTGAAGGCCTACTCTTTCAACTCACTAGAAAGTAGAAATGCACTAATCTTGCTGGGTACAGGGGCACATGCCTGTAATCCCAGTGGCTTGAGAGGCTGCGACAGGGAGCATCGCAAGTTCAAAGCCAACCTCAGCAACTTAGTGAGGCCCTTAGCAACTTTGAGAGATCCTGTCTCAAAATTTTGATTCAGTGGTTTAGTGATCCCGGGTTCAATCCCTGGTTCAAAAAAAAAAAAAAATCATCAACTATGCTAATCTGACTTGAGGTGCCAGTGTCGCCAGGCTATTTCACCTCAATTACTTAAAATACATTATTTTCTTCAAAACACATCATAAAGCTTAATATGATTGGATCAAGGACACATTTTTAAATGTCATGTCAGCATTTTCATCTTCAATGTTCCAATTCATAGTAACATGGGTTCTCCAATCTTGATGAATTATGGGCTTGTCAACTTCTAGTCCCTTCATGTGATTCCTCCCTTTCTTCAGCCATCTCTGCCTGGCCACCTGCCATAGTCCTCTTTGGGCTCTTGCTTGTTCAGATTTTACATATTTTTAAGGCTAAGCACTAAGGGCAGCAAAGACCTTGTGACTAACTCTATTTCAACCCCTGTTCCTTCCAGCTCTACCACAGTCCCTAATAATAAAAATTCTTACCAACAGTGATGATTTAGTCTCTCTTATATTGTCCTCTGTCTTCCAGAGTTCTTTAGGAACAGGGACCATATTCACATACAGCTTCTGTTACCCATGTGGGCCAATACAGTGTCGGACACACAGCAAACATTCCTTAAAACCTAAGTTGTTTTTCTTGTTGTTTTTTAACCAGGGATTGAACCCAGGGCCACTTAACCACTGAGCAACATCCTCAGTTGACTTTTTACTTTGAGACAGGGTCTCACTTAGTTGCTCAGAGCCTCACTAAGTTCCTGAGGTGGGCTTTGGACTTACGATCCTCCTGCCTCAGTCTCCTGAGCTGCTGGGATTACAGGTGTGCACCACTGCACCTAGATAAAACCTGAGATTTAATTAAAAGTAGCATGCTCTCAAATCTCACCTGAGACCACTCCATGGCGATCCACTTGGGGCAATCGAATAGGTTGCAGGTCTGCATAACCTTGGGCTTGGGTGCATACATGCACTTCCATTCTTCCACCTGCAGTATCTCTGCATGCATGGACTCCTCCACACACACAAAGCTCCGTCTCTGGATCCCTCCTCCACAGGACACGGAACATGCAGTCCAAGGATTATGTTCCCAGCTCAAAAGCAAACAAATAAAAATACATTATTTTTTTGTTGTTTGTTCATTTCAAGTTTGCAAAAGTGGGTGCAAAAAGTATGGCCTCAAGGTGTCAGTTGGCTCAGCTAAAAAAGCATGAGACCTGGAGTCAAGATGTTAATCATAACTGCCACACAGTCTGTAGACACAAGAAACTTATCTCCTCTGAACTTTAGGTTTCTGCCAAATGAGAATAATACACTTGCCCTACTTACTTTCAGGGGGCCATTGTGAGAATTTGATTAAATTTTAAATGATCCTTTTAAATTCTCAACTATAAACCAATGGACCATATTATTAGAGATTCACAGAAATTCAAAATCAGAAAGAAACACACTAGTCATCTAAGTGTCGAAGGGGATTCAAATTTCTGACCAATTGCAATGCTTGAGCTCCTTCTCTGATACCAGTCATCCAAGACATGCTTGGTGCCGCCAGTAATGAGAAACATCACCTTTTCAGGCAGACTATTCCATCTAATTGTTACAAAGATCATTCTGATTACTGAGGTGAAATCTGTTTTCCCTTAGCTCTGAAAAGATCTAATTTCTGTCCCTGGTACACTGCAGGCTACTGCTACAGAGGCTACAAATACTTGAAAATTACTTAGAGTAAATTACAAAAAGGAAAAGGAAGCATAGAACTCACCGAGGGAGAGGTTGAAAGTGGTCATAGGGCATAATCTCTTTAAAGCCATCACTACAAATAAACCATTGAGAGAATATCATTTCTAAATCAACACATTTATTAAGTAATACAGAATTTGATATTGCAAGAGACAGGACTCTTTCAAATTGAAAACTAGAAATGCCAAATGTTATGAACCATTCACAAAACTTTGACCACCATCTCTCTCTCTCTGAGAATTGGACCCATGGACATTCTACCACTAAGCTACACATCTCTGGTTTATTCATTCATTTATTTATTTTGAGGCAGGTTTCTCTGCTTTGCCCAAACTGGCCTTGAATTTATAATCCTTCTGTCTCAGCTTCCCAATTCACTAGGATTTTAGTCATGTGCCACAGTGCCTGGAAGTCACCATATCTTTAATTTTCAGGAATGACTCTAACACAAACGATCCCCAGTTATATATGAAAACAAAAAATTGAACTAGTGATATATTAATCAAAGGGTGAAATTATCTTGGATAAATCTAGTCCTTCTCATGGTCATTATAATAAGATATATTAATGATAAAACATGCAGTAATGTTAGTAGAATCTTCAAAACAGTTTTATTTCACAGAGCTTGTCCTTTGAAAGATCTCTATCAATAAGTATGTTCAATCAGGATTACAGGGAACGGGAAGGCAGCGATAGGAAATGAAATCCACTGAGAAGGCTTCCTTTTCCACTTGTACACTTTTGCCTTAGCCAGCTGGCATATATCTGGGGGATTCTGGGACTTGATACTGCACTGTTATTTTAAGATACTGTAGTGCAGCCAGGAAACTTCCCCAGGCAATCCAAGTCAGCAGGTACTAAATTATGCAACAGGACAGTTGATGCACAGCTTTTCTGCTTTGGCATTAAAACTTTTTGCTCCTTTGCACAATGCATTATTTATACTGAATCTCGTGTGAGCACTTCAAAAGTCAAAATGTGGTAATGGGTGACCCAGTTTCATGGCTAACTTGCGAGTGAAAGATATTTTATGACTGACCTATGGACTAGGCATTGCACTTGAATAAAGATATCTTTAATATTGGATACGCAGGAGATGCTCAAGAAGGTTCATTATAAAGAGCTTAATGGACACATAATCCCACAGTGAGAGAGCCTGCCTGAATGACTAGGTTGACAAATGTGTCCTAATTCCCACTGACCATGTTTACAAATATAAATGCAGCCATTGTATGTTCAAAGTCAGGAAATGGAAAAATTTTGTCCTTCAAGAACTAATCAGTCCCAGTGACAGTTGATTCATTTATTTTAAAAGCAAAAAGGGTGGTGTGGGCAGTTTTACAAACCTTGACGGGCAAGGATCCATGCTGCATTCCTTCAATTTTGGTTTGGGTTTTACATTTTCAGGGTAGTAATGGCAATAGTGGTCAGGAACCACCCTCTTCAAGCGGATATCCACACATTCAGCAGAGTTGAGCTGATAACCTAAAGATGTAGAAGAGGAAAGGCTAGAAACTGTGTCTGTGTCATGATGGCTGGCAAAGTTACCACTTGCCACACACTTCTTCCTCTTTAAGAAACTGGGTGGTTTTCAACTCTGGCTACATAAGGAACCACATGGGGACTTTGGCTGTACACCAGAGCTCAGGTCCCTTCATGATCCAATTCAATCAGAAGCACTGAAGTTGGGCAACAGGGAGTCAGTACTCTTTAAAAAAATTATCAGGTTTCTCTAAGATGACTAAAATGTGTGGCCAAAACTGAGAACAACTACTAGAGTGGTTCTCTAAGCCCTTGTAAGTAAGAAGTGAAGATGGTCTCCTTTTAAGAAGTGTTTAGACCTCAGGTGCAGTTTCTTCCTTCCTCCTCCTCCTCGTGGCACTGGGCACAGGCCCTCTCTTTTGTTTTCTTGTAATCTCCTTTCTTCCCCTATAGCACTTCCATTCTGATATCCCCCTCCCCTGATATGCTGATATCTTCTCCCCCTCCTCTGATATCCTGATTTAGTTTTTAGGTGTCTTTAAATATATACAACTGTCTTCAATAATGTTGTTTTGTGAGAATCTGTTTTTAACTTAATTGATAATGTGTTTTAAATCTTGTCCCATTTTCTACTTTTTTTACACTCAACATGTTTTTGAGAACTACCTTTCTTCTAGTTTGTCACTGTGTTGAATATTTCTTTAATTGATATTCCACTGTTTGCATCTACCATATTTCACTCATCTTCTGCCCTGAGATAGTCAGGGCACTTCCACTGTCAATAACCTTCCAACTGGAGAAGAAAGCACTGGTTAACACAGGAAGGAATAAACTTTATCTCTCTATACCCACCCCCAACCCTGCCTCACAAGTTTTCAAAGGGGAAGGAATGAACACTAATTCCTAATTCTATTAAATCTAATTTTTCTTTGAGGAAAGTTAACATTCCACGTACAGGAGTGCTGAAAATTTAAAAAACAACTCACAGAAGGACACTTTCCTTTCGGGAAAGAGCCAACTCCAGGTCTCCTGTCACTACATAAATACAAAGGAAAGTTAAATACTTTTTATTTTTTTAAGTGATTTTTTTTTTTCAAACTAGAATGAGCTCTTAAAAAAATTAAAAAATAGGGGCTGGGGATGTGGCTCAAGTGGTAGCGCGCTCGCCTGGCATGCGCCGGCGCTGGGTTCGATCCTCAGCACCACATAAAAATAAAATAAAGATGTTGTGTCCACCAAAAACTAAAAAATGAATATTAAAAAATTCTCTCTCTCTCAGAAATAAAAAATATATAAAGAAGCCCCTATAGCTAAGCTAATGTTAAGCTCTCAGTTTCTATGCATTAGTCTGATGTTCTAAAAATACATTTAAAGTCCTGATTGTCAAGAGGAATCTGATTTTATAAACCACTAGACAGCTTTCTACAAGACATGGCTTGGACATAAGCTGAGTAAAGAGGACAGACTGGTATGCATTATGAAAAAGCAAGGTCGAAACCACAAGAATGAAAATCCAAATGGAGTCAATAAAATGTTCCCCGGGTGCCAGTATTTGCCATAAAACCCACAATATCAGATGGCATTGGCAATCCTGGTACTTGCTAGAGAATGATCTCAGGTGTCCTCTTTAGATAATCACAAACAAGACCAAGGAAGTTCATCCAATGCAGAGTACTGCATTGTACTGCATTGGTACTTCAGAGACCAATGAACTAATTTTCTTGATGATCCCAAAATCTCCGAAATGCCATTCACACAAATCATGTAGATTCAATTACTAATGTAATTAAATTTTGGTAATGCTTTCCTTGTGGGTTTTATGTGCATGTTTTTACTTCCCCCAAAACAAGTACAGAATGAGATTACAGCTACTTGAGTCAGAGAAAATCTTTCTCCTAAATGGAAACATACTTCTAAAGAGAGACGGGGGACAGACAGGTGTTTCTAATTTGGGGAAGAGAATTAGTTTTCCTCTTTAATTTTATTGCCATTTAAAGATAACTAAAAGCAAGGAAATAAGGCAGATTGTCTTGGTACTGTAAATAAATGCAATAAAATTCTTCCAGGGCAGAAAACAGCAGGCACTGCCCAACATGGCAGCCTAAATCTCTGTTCTTTCGCCTGCCACTATATTTGAAGAGGACCTAGCTGGTGGGTGCTCCCTTGCCCATCTATAGTTCCAGTAGGACTCCCTTTCTGTGGAAACCCAAGTGTGAGAAACACCTGTTCTCCTGCCAAGACTTTAATCAACTTAACTAAGCTGGATCCTATTATAAAATATCTTATGGGTCTAAATGGGAATGTCTCTCTGAATAATGTGTGTAAGGGATAAAAAACAAGTGAAAAAGAAATGGATGTTGTTTATCTGCAAAGTAAGAGTAGAAAAAGCTCCCACCATCTCTGCTCTCATTTTGGGGTTTCTTTCTTCCCAGAAACTATGGTGTGCCTGTGTCTAAGGCAATGGAATTCAGCTTCTGAGTGTAAAGTACTATTTGGTGTCTATAGTCTGTCCCACTCACTATAGGCTAGGCTCTCCACCATGACTGTTGAGTTGTGTGCATACACATCACTCAACAACAGCATGATCTGAGAATGCTGGGGTGGGGACAGCCAAGGATCATCACATTTTACACACTTTAGACAACATTTTAGGTTGAGATTCTGACATAACAAATATTTTCTGAACACTTACTAAGTGCCAGGCCCTGACCTATGTTCCTTGGCATGCATCATCTCATTTTGTCTTGCTATAAGGGACACAGTCTTATTTACAGGTGAGAAATTGAGGCTCAAAGATGTCTCAGAGCTAATCAGTGGTGAGGCCTAAAAATTAACCCACATCCTTAACTTTACAGACCATGTTGCCTCTTCATATGAACTCTTGTGTGCAAATTTTTTTTAAATATTTATTTTTTAGTTTTAGGTGGAACAATATCTTTATTTTATTTTTATGTGGTGCTGAGGATCAAACCCAGTGCCTCACATGTGCTAGGCGAGCACTCCACCACTTGAGCCACAACCCCAGACCATGTGCAAATTTAAATATATATATATATATATTTTTAGTTGTAAGTGGACAAAATACCTTTATTTTATTTAATTTTATATGGTGCTGAGGATCAAACCCAGTGCCTCATACATGTGAGGCACGCATTCTACCACTAAGCTACAACCCCAGCCCCCTCACATGAAAATTTTGAAGAACTGGATTGGCCCCCAAATTTCTGGCCCCTGTATAGAGAGACTCATTGGTTTTTCCCAGTTTAAAGTCTCAATTCCAAACAGTGTTCTCCCTCAATCAACTTTGAGAGAGGTCAAATGTTTCTAAGAATTTCCCCTAGAGCTTACGGGAGAGTCACTGACTCAAAAGATCTAAAGGAACTTTGCTTCATAAAAATGCTTAGCATGTTCAACAAAATTCAAAAGAAATTGAAAATAAACTGAGAGACTGTTTGAGCTGGCAGGAATTTGAAGATTATCTACTCCACTGCTATGTTTTCATTGTGTTGATTTTTGTGATTGAGGTCTACGGTAAGAGATAATCATTGTCTACTTCAGGTAGTAAATCAAATTATTTTTGTAAATATGTTTACATTAAAAAATTTATTTAAAGAAAACTCCTTGAATGAATAGTAATGAATGCAGGGGGAAAACAGGTATGTCAAACATAGTCATGTTAATTTGGCTACAGCTGCTTTCCAGAGACACTGCTTTATAGAGGTGGTTCTCAAAATGCAGAGTAACCATAATCCCCCGTGGGGGCGGGGCTGGTAATAGTGGGCTGGACCCATCCTCAGCATTTCTAACTGGGTGTGACCCAAGAGTTTGTATGTCTAATAAATTCCTGGGAGATGCTAATGCTGCTAATCCAGGAACCTGACCCAAGAATGATTCCTGTAGAATCATGATCAAGTGGTCAATTACCCCTTGTCTGACCCAAGGAAGAACTATCTGGTAACTGAGGAGACTCACTTTCTACTTGCGTTCTAGGCTCCCCATTTAGTCCACAGAAGGCACCTCATTTAATACCTAGGGTCCCAAGCTCCTGCTGAAGTCTGCACTGCCCAGTGCTCCCCCAAAAAGTGGCTACCTCCTCATTTCAGGGGAACCTAACTCCCAGATGAGAGAGCTGACTTGCATACTCATGGGAACCTGACATTGATGGAGGAGCCTCCTCAATATACCTGTGGTTCAAAGGAGAGAGGCCAGACTTTGTTAGACTCTGTAAACAAGTCAAGATGGCACCTGGCATTTTGCAGAGGGAGTGGTTTGTGAAGTAACGCCAGCGAGCCATTAAGTGTGGAGATTCCTTATTGGTTGACTGCTGTATCTGGTTTATGTTAATTAAGATAAGCTGTGTGTAATGTATATATGCCCCTCCGGGGTCCTACAATAAACAGCTCCCACTCCTGCTGTATCAATCTACACAAGTTGCTCGTCACCCCCCCCCCCCACCCGGTTTATTTTGCTGCAGCCGGACTGCGGCAGACTTCAGTTCTGACTTGTGAGTGACTTTTTGAGCGAGTTGAAAACTTGGGGGGAAAAAGTGATTTGGAGCTGAGCTTAGCCAAAGAAGCAGGATTTATTCTAGCTTTTCTAATAGGACCATGCCTGAACTGTGTACCCTGACGTGGTGTCAGGTATAATAGATGCTCAGGGGGCACAGTCATTACAGCATGACTGGCATCAGACAGAGCTGGACTCAGATCCCTGCTGACCTGTTCACTAGCAGAACATCCTTGGGTGACTTCTTGACCCTTTCTATGTTTCAGTTTGCTCATATATAACACAGGCATAAAACAGACCTTCCTTAAAGTGTTCTACAGAACAAACATGATGATGATGTACGTGGCACATAGCTTGACACATCATCCAGTGCTCTGCCTGGAACTCTTAGGGGAAACATCACCAAGTCCCTTGCTTGGCATTCATTTAGAACCATTTTCTCTTTGGTATAAAAGCTCAGACCAGAAAAAGAGTATTTATGATGGCTCTGGCTCTTTCCTTCTTTGCTTCGGGGAGTCATTGCTTCACCATGGTAAGGAGACTGTTATCTACAGAAAAGCCACTTCTTCTGTGCAGGTATGTGGAACCCTCAATTATAAATGCATCCAAATCACCTTCAACTCTAAAAACTAAGTGGACAATAAGCAGAATTTTCCCTTATCTCTCAGGAAAGACCCTTTCTCTTTTTACAAAGTTTATACTATCACAAGAAGAGATAAAGTAGAAAATTAATGTTAGCACCAACATGTCCATTAGCTTGTTGTGGCTGGGCCAGTCACTCCATCTCTGTATTTCTCAGTTTTTCCATAGAAACTTAAAAAATAATACATGCTATTTTGGTTTGTACATGTTATTGCCACTATGTTAATGCAGAAGGTAAAATTATTAGATTTGGGGAGCTATAGCCTAATCAATAAATTCATCCATCTGATGGATTAATAATTTGAAAAGATGATTATATGGCAACTATAGGCAGGTGAGGTGTGGCTGGAAGAAGTGGATCTCTGGGGATGTGCCCTTGGGGATTATATCTTGTTCCCCTGGGGTCTTCCTTCTCGCTCTCTTTTCCTGTCTGCCACAGTTGTTTTCCTCCAACATACCTTCTGCCATGATGGTCTGCCTCAACTTGGGCCCAGACCCAAGCAGTTGGCCATCTATTGACTAAATCTCTGAAACTGTGAGCTCAAAATAAACTTTCCCTCCTCTGAGTTGTTTTTGTCAGGTATTTTGATCACAGGGATTTCAAGATCATTAAAACATGTGCTTTACCGTCACTGAAGAAGAGAACCCATGTAACATGTCCCCAGCTTTTGTCTAAAAGTAAAAGGCATTTTCCAGATTCACCTTACTTCAGAAGCTAAGGCAAATGCATATTCATTAACAGTATGGTATTTAGGCTACTGAATAAAGTGCTGTGTGATTAGCCGTCTTTCATGATCACACAGATTTTAAAGTCAAAAATGCACATGTGTAATTTCCAACTTTGAGCTGTAAATATTCATGAACAAAGTCTGTGCCTCACCTCCTCCACATGTCACTGTGCAGGGAAAGAAGTCGGTTTGTCTCCATTGATGGCTGATGGGCTGGTAAAAGAAGAACTGGACCACACTGTCTTTGGCCACAGTGTACCTGGTCTGGACAGAGAGAACTGTGATATACATTTGCATACAGTGAGCTGGTGTTGTCCATGCCTTTCAGACTCCACAAGTGTCACAACACACTTTGATACATGAGGAGTGCAAGGATTTTAAGATATAATAGCATTTCAGTTAGACTTGTCATAAATGGAGGCCAAGGTAATTCTCAACAAATCCCTTTGGAGTCATTTTTCCAGATCATTCCATGCCTGTAAGAGGATTCACAAAAAAATATATGTGGCCTTGCTTCTTTAATTTAAATTTTTCCTTTCTAAAACATTTGATTTTAATTCCCAAGATGACAGAGATTGAGACTTAATGTGGGTTTGCTCACAACAAAGCACATGACTAGGATTCTTTTGGTGGTTGTTGTTCTTATTAATTATATATGACAATAGAATGTGTTTTGGCCTATTATACATATAAGGAGTATAACTCCCACTCTCCTGGTTGTGTATAATGTGGAATTACATTGGTTGTGTATTCATATATACATATAGAAAAGTAACATCCCATTCATTCTACTATCTTACATGACTAGGATTCTTACATTTTACATAGTAACATCTTTAAGCAGTTTCTTCTGAAAAATCCTTCAAAAGCACAACTGCAGAAACTCTGCTCACTGTAGTAGTGTCTGGTTAAAGGGAAGGGGCCAGGACAAGAGCAGGCAGTTGTACACAAAGGTGAATTTACTCTCAGATGTTTTTCTCAAGCAGCAAATTGTCTCCTTACTTTTTTCTTCTCTTCCTCACTGATCGAACAAATGCACAAACTGAGAGAAACTTCCAGAGTGGAGCATAAAGAGAAAAAAAGAAGGAAAACCAATCAAGCTCATAGGAGACAGGTCCAGAAAAGTCCACACATACAGGGAGTTCAAGATCACACACTTGAAAATTGCAGAGAAAAGATTCTATGTGTTGTCACCACAGAAAAATAATGAGTATGTGAGGTAATATATATGCTAATTAGCTCTGATCATTCCACAATGTACACATCTTTCAAAACATGTTGTACACCATAACTACGTACAATTTTTATCAACTAGGAAACATTTCAGAGTATCAACATATTAGAAAAATCTGAAAATGTAATTGGTTAGAAAAACCAAGAAATTAAATTTTAATGGGAAAAATATAGCAATAAATATAATTTAGGGCTGAGGCTGTAAAATGATTTAGGGCTGGGCACTCAGTGACAAAGCTCCTGCCTTGCATGTCTGGGGCACTGGGTTCAATCATCAGCACCCATAAAAATAAATAAACAAACATATTGTGTCCATCCACAACTAAAAAAAATTTTTTAAAGAATAATTTAAAAAGAATTTTCCATGACATGAGAAAATATTCATACGATAGTTTGTGTAAAAAATAATTTACAAAAAAGAAAAATTTTAAAGAGAAATTTAAAAAGATTATAAAAAACACTAAAGTATTTCTTTTTAAAAAAAGATAGAGATAATAAAATAACAAAGAGGCAATATTTTGTTATAAAATTGCTAAGACTTTCCTAGACCTTAAAAGAAGATAATGCATCTTTATTTTCAGAATTCTTATTGCGTTCTAAACATACATTTAGAAAATAAAAGGATAAAGAAAAAAAACTTAAAATTATCAAAAAGAAGAAAAATGATTACCTACAAAGGAAGTATTAGATTTCTCACAAGAAATACTGGATGCAAGACAAGAAAATCATATTTTCAAAGTGATGAGGAACAAGAGTTTTGGATCTAGCATTCTATAATCAAATTATTAATCAACAGTCAATTATCCATCTATAATCAAAATTTCAATAATTAATAAGTATAATAAAGATGTTTTCAGACATAAAATGACTCTGAAACTTTACCATTCAGAGACACTAGAAATAGAAAGAAATACTACAAGAGATATAATGAACAAGAACTAAGACAAATACAGAAGAAATTTGTTAGATACAAGAAGCAATATTGTGTAATAAAACAGTAAAGCTTATAGGTAAATCTAAATAAAGGTTGATTGAAAAAATAAGTTTGATATATTAATTATAAAATAGCATAAAAGTTCCAGACTTGATACGTGTATGGAAGAAGGGAAGGTCAGCGTTGCAGTAACAGAATGGCTACAGCAGAGGGTTACAGAGACAGAAACACACGAAGGTGTTTTGCTGCTGACTGTTGCAGAATGGCTTGTTTCTGATGAATTCTCCTGTAGAGGATAAGTAAAAATACTGCATAGAATATTTTCAAATGTATTTTAAGGCATCAGGGAACTACTATGCTAGTGAAGATATGCAGGGTTAAGATCCCAGACATGAAAAAAGCCCAGAAACGTGAGCACATTTGGCACTAGGTTTGGCACCACCTTTCAACTTGAGGCATTTTCCAGTTTGCAAGTGGTGACTGAGAGGCTGAGAAACTGTGCAGACCTGTCATCAGATTAATGGAGCCGGGGAGGCAAAAACTGGAGCCCATGACCTGCCAAGGTGAGGGGAATAAGTAAATACCCCAGGCTCACAGCTGGGATCCAAGAAGGCTCTGTTGTAGGAATAAAAGCAAACTGGATAGCCTCAGAAATTTAGCAAGACCCTGTCTCAAAATAAAAATTAAAAAGGGATGGAGATGTACCTAAGTGGTAAAGTACCCCTGGGTTTAATGCCCAGTACAAAAAAAAAAAGGAAACTGAACATAGACCAACTTTGAAAGGGAATGAAGCCCAGGTTCAAATTATTTCAATTCCTTGTTAGATGAAGGCGATTGGCTCCTAACCTAGCTGTCTTCTAGAAGCAAAAATAGTCCAGACACAAACTGTATCTATAATCTTACATCTCAAATATGCAACACAGACTTTAAAAATAACAAGGCATACGAAAATAAAGTTTAAAACTGAGAAAAGAATATGGAGAAAAGAATTTAAAATCACAGGAAATCTAGATATTGGCAGTAAATAACAGAAACTTAAAACTTAAGTATGGCACTATTACCCCCTCCCCACCTAAGCCTTGGCTTCACATCTTTGTTTCTTTGCTGGAGAACCCTAGCAACATCTTATGCTACTCCCATGGTCATAAAACATCAGTGTTGGAACATAGCTTTTGCCTTGGGTTCTGTTTGAGAGAATCTGAACTAAGATGCTCTCATTAAAATATTCAATAAATTAAATAAGATGGATCATTTCACAGAAACAGAATGAAAAGTACAATAATCTAAATAAATATCTCGAAGGATGGATTTAATAGATTAGCCCAGAGTTTGTCAAATAGTTTCTTAAAGAGACAGAGAGTAATCATTTTAGGTATTCAGGTTATACGGTAGCTTCTTTTGCAACTTATCAGCTCTGCTGATGTAGTGCAAAAGTAGCCATAAACAACATGTAAACAAATGGGGGTGGCTGTCTTCTAATAAAACTTTATTTACAAAAATCAAGTAGATAGCTTGCTACTCATATTCTGCTGACCCTTGGATTAGACACACAGGGCTCTGTTTGAGAGAATCTGAACTAAGATGCTCTGATTAAAATATTCAATAAATTAAATAAGATGGATCATTTTATTTTGTAGTTTAATTCTATTGTTAGTGAAATAACATACTCATATTATTTAAATCTTCTAAAATTTGTTAAAACTTTATTTTGGAGAAGAGAATTGTAAGATAACATATATGAAGAAAGCAGAAATTATACATAAAGATGAAAATATAATTGCAGTCCTAGAAACAGAAGAAAAAGCTTGGGACAGAAGCTAATCTTCCAAAACTGATGGCAGATATTTAGCCATGGATTTATGAGACACATGGACCTCAAACTGAAGAAACCCACTAATTACACCACAGTCAAATTGATGAAAATAAAGCAAACGAACAAAAAAACCCAGAAACCACTTAAACTCAGACAAAGAAAAAAGACACATTACCTTCTAAGGAACAAAAATTAGACTGATAGCTGACTTCTCAACAGAATAAATGAAAGCCAGAAGACAATGAAGAGATATCTTCAAAGTGCTGAAAGAAAATAGTTTCATAATGATAAAAGGTTCAAATCACTAGGAAGATGAAATGATTCTAAAGTTGAATGTACCTAAAAATCTAGCCTCAAAATATATAATGCAAAAGTTGCATGAATTAAAATAAAATTAGGTAAAATGTACATGGTGGTGGTGTTATTATAAAATAAAGATATTTTATCTTACAGATAAAAATCTGTAAGCCTACAATTTTATTTTATTTTTTAACTTTATTTTATTTATTTTTATGTGGTGCTGAGGATAGAACCCAGGGCCTCACATACTAGGCAAGTGCTCTACCATTGAACCACAACCCCAGCCCAAGCCTAAAATTTTAAATAGAACAATTAATAAACATGGCCTAACTGATATATGTAGAACCCTATATTCAACAATGGAGGACTACACATCATAGTCATCCAAAATTCACTATTCTGAGCCAAAATAAAGTTTTAACAAATTTTAGAAGATTTAAATAATATGAGTATGTTCTTTCACTAACAATAGAATTAAGCTACAAAATAAAATTATTAGGAAATACCCACATGCTTGGATGTTATATTCTAAATAACTCATAAGATAAGGAATATATTACTAAGAAATTTATAATATAACTGAATAATTGATGAAATATTTTATACAAACATGTGAAAATAAATATAAAGTATATACTCTGATTTCAGAGAAATTTATAGATTTAAGTGTACATGTTATAAGAAAAAAGGATTAAAAATGTAAATATTTATCTCAAGAAGTAAGAAAAATAACAGTATATTTAATCTACATAAAGTAGAAGAATAGAAATAATAAAGACAAGAACAGACATTTATTATATAGAAAGAAAACCACATAAAAGAGAGCTACAAAAGAAAAAGTTGTTACTATCAAAAGTGTAATAAAATTGATAACCCTCCAACATGATTACTCCAGGAACAGAGAGAATAAGAACAAATAACTGATATCAGGAATAAGTAAAAGGACTCACTATAAATTCTCTGAGGCAGTGAACAGATAAGAGG